TAGTTGATAAACGTTATCGTACCTTACCTACCTAATCTAAACTTTTGTCAGGATTACATCAATTTTTTGAGTAATCTGAAATGAACAAAAAAAGATGCAATACAATTTTCAATGCTATCAATAAGTTAGACAACGCTATGAACCAAATTGTGGCCACTGGCCTGCAATTTATCACAAAAAAAAAAAACAGATTTCTTTAATATGTAAAATATAATAATAAAATAAATCAATATCAATTAATAATTTTAAAATATAATAATATGTACATACATACAATAATTTTTCACCTCTCTTTAATTCGAATTAATTATTTTCCTTCAATTATTCAAACACTCGGTAAATCGAAAACCTCCATAAATCGAATTTTTAACTTGGTCCCCTGAATTTCGAATTATCGAGTGACTACTGTATAATGTAGTTTAAATTATTCAATTGCAGTATTTATGTAAATTATTTTTATGTCATATGAAATACAAGCCAATTAATTCAGTTAATCTTTGGAATTTTGTAGGTGTACTTAGTTAATTATATAGGCTTATTTTATTATTTAGTAAAGTTAAAATAGCTTAAACTTAGTTAATTACTATTTTTTTTCAATAAACAATTGTATAGAAATTTGTAATACAACTATATTTATACTTATTTATTTTTAACAAAATTATATTCGATTCATTGAGTTGGGTTTGTACAAAATATTAGAATTCTAGAATCTAGACCAGTGGTTTTCAACCTTTTTAACAATGTAGCGCACCACTTCTTTTACAAAATTTTTGCGGCACACCAATTCATAATACATGAAGCATATATTTTTTATATATAATACATATAATATACAAAATGAACTCCATTAATAGATTTATCATGGCACACTTCAAAGGTGCTCGTGGCACACCAGTGTGCAGCTACACACCGGTTGAAAACCACTGATCTAGACTTTAACTATTATTTTTGAAAATTAAAAATGTTATGTTCTTTACCTCTAACATTTAATCATAATCTGTATCACTTATGGTTATGATAAATGATCGTGAGCTAGTTTATATATTATATCTACATAACCATTAATGTTAAATTTGATTAGACTACTAGAACTCAATAACAAATTTTGTTTGATTTATTTTGATGATATCCAAATTTAGGTTCAAATTAATACTACTTAACAATAAAAAATCTGTAGCAATTTTTGTTATTTTATGTATGCTTAATCAAGTGTGAGGTAGATCACACACGACAAGAATATAAAAAATTTATATCTTTTACAATATACAAAGAATATAAATTATATATTTAATTGTTTATACATTTAATGGTATTAATTGTATGTACCTATAGTATAAACAGTATCCATAGGAATAGAATGCTTTGGAAAGTCATTAAGAGGAAGCTACATAGACATTTGTTATCTCCGTCTTACAAGTGTGTAATGTAGCAAATTAATGTTCAGCAGATTAGGTTTAGATTTGTAAATTTAAAAATTAAAGTGAATCGACCTATAATAAAACTTAATGGTAAGAACATTATTTGTGTTTGTATATAGGTTTTTTATGATAGTTCATTTTTTTAATAAGTTTGTAAAATTTAGTAAATTAAAAATGCTCATAACTCACTTAAAAAAATTGAGTTATTGTAAAAACCCACATATAAACACAGAAAATGTTCTTACCATCAAGTTTCATTATAGGTTGATTCACACTAATTTTTAAACTAACTAAGCTAAACCAGATCTTGTGAGTGTAAATTTGTTATGTTACGCACTTGTAAGACGAAGACAACAAATTTCTGTGTAGCGTCCTCGTAATAACAAAAAACATTGTACGTGCAATACATTTATAAAACTATCTTATTAAAGAGTAGATCATTTGACACTTTTGGCTGGAGTACTAAATCAAATATTATATTTATACAAAATAATTTTAAAAATACTGTGGTCAATATTTTTATCGAATATTAGTTATAATTATAATAAAATAATATTATTTTAGATATTACACGTATTTGTTGCTGCATTTTCTGTGGAGGAAAAACAAATAGTTAGCGGTTTGTTATTGGACGACTTTAAAATGTTTTTCTTACAAATGGGTGCTTCAGTAGTTAATATAAATTTACATCAAAAAGCACGCTTTGTATCATGTTTTGGATATTCTTCTCGTGTCAACTTTTATAATTCAGTTAAAATGTTTATCATAAACCATTTACAGCATGAGGTATGTATTAACTAGGTATATGGTTATAAAAAAAGTTTAACGTATTAAAATGTATATTATATTATTAACAGATAAAGCCAAATGTTTTAAAATCAACAAATCATATATTTTTGAAGTCGTTGACCACTGCCTGGGAAAATTTTTTTGAAGCTCTAATTACTATAAACAATGTTATGGATTATATGGAGAGTATTCATTCTGGACACAACAAATTAGAGCATTTTGACAAATTAGGAGTAATATTGTTTCGTTGTATGGTGAGTAAGATTTAAGAATATTTTTTCATATTGAAATAAATTAATAATATATTTTATTTAACAGACATATTTTAAAATTAAAAAAAAACTAAATTTCTCATTACATTTTATAATGACATTAACTTTGTAATATAGGTTTTTTCAAAATGATGAGGTACAATTACGCTTCCAACAATGTTTGTCAGAAATGAAACTAGTTAAAGTGAGAGAAATAACATTATTAAATTCTGATCGATTGTTACTCGAAGGTGTATCGATTATGTGTAATTTGTTAAAAATGGATTCTATTTATGAGGGTTATGTAAAACCATTCTTTATGAGATTAACAACTGAGTATTTTCAAGTAAGAATCAAAATAACATCAATAATATTATTGTTTTGAAGTTTAACATCATATTATTTATAGACAATGAGCAAGGACTATTTATTTCAATATTGTGCATGTGTTTATTTTGAAAACGTTCACGCCAAAATAATGGAAGAAATGAACAGAATACAATTTAAATTGGACGCAAGATCTGTAAACGATATTAATGAAGTTATTAAAACAGAACTCGTTAAAAAAAATATGAAGACTATTATAGAGGTTAATATTAAATAATTTCAATCATACAAAATATTTAAACTATTGTATAATATGTGAAATTCAAATTCTACATTTTTATATACCTATTATCTCTTTCAGATGGAAAATTGTGGTGTTATGTATTTGTTAAAGAACAACCAATATGATGATTTGAGATGTATGTACAATTTTTTGTATACTGTGGATGGTGGTGTAAAAGTGATGATTGATAGTATGTGTCTATACTTTCGTGAACTAGGAACATCAGTTGTACTTGAAAAATTGAATTCTGATATTATTAGTTGTGTTCAGGTAATATAATTTTTACAGATACTAACTTAATAAATAAATATTACTTGACAGTAATTTAGTTTATTAAAGCGAATATTTTTCTGAATGAATATATTTTAATTATTATTAAAATTTTCAGAGTTTATTGGATCTGAAAGAAAAATTTGATGTTTTATTTGCAAATGTCTTCTGCCATGACCTATTATTTGATGAAATTGTTGGTGGTGAATTTGGTTCTTTCTTAAAATTAAATTCATTAATACCTAAATTTCTCTCTAAATTCCTTGATCTAATGCTAAGAAGAGATAAATCCGTGGTAAATATAAATTTTTATTTGTGCTTATATTTTAATATATACATAATAACACTTTTAACAATTTAATATTTAATAAGAAATTATTATTAATTTAATAATTATTCTATTGTTGTTAAAGGCTATTGTTAAGTATTAACTTTCTTCAAAATTCTTTTTTCCATAAGAATCTTCTATACTCTCTTTGTGATAAGAAACTTAGTTAGATGTCTGCTACTGCAAAAGAGCGTAGCTCTACTATGAGCATGGTCATAAAATAATTATACCGCAGCACATTGGTGAGAGGGACACATTAGTCTAATGTTGATTAGTGATATTAACACTTCACTTTAAATGTATTGTATACCTTGTTCACGTTGTTCGGTGTAGAGCGGTGCATTGCATTATTTTCCTTATGTTAGCATACCATACAACCAATTTGTTTAATGTTTCCTAACAGGTGGTTGATTTGGTGGAGGGAATAATAGTTGCTTGACTATTAGTGATAAAATTTTCAAATTGCTACCTATAATAAAATTGTTGTGCATTTTTTTTATACACACTTATTTAATTTTACAATTATAGGTACACTACTTTTTACACATACTTATAGATGTACTTTTTAACATGTAAATTGTGTATAATACTTGTAATCAGGGCTTGCATATGAAAAAAATATTTTATTATACGTTATTTACAATTAAAATTTTATATAAATTTTGAGTTTATCGTTATTCAACTTTTGTATTTATCGTTATTCAGGATTAAAACGTTATTCAGAGTTAAAATTTTTAGTATATTTTATAAGTTATAACTATTAAATAATTGGAAATTAATTATTTCTTTTTATGATATAATATATATATAACGTTTTCCGTTATGTTTTGTTTGATGATATGTCTTATATTTTGTTAATCGTTATGTTTTGTTTTGTGTTATTTAATTGTTTATTTTTATCGTTTTCCATCATAATTACATTTACAAATTTCAATCATTTTTTGTCAAATATAACGTTTGCAAGCCCTGCTTGCAATACTCAAATTCTTTTGATAAAGTATTATATTATTCATATTATTATTATTCAAAGTAATACAAACTAGCAGGATACAAAATCTTTCAACCACCACTGTCATTAAATAATATAATAGACTACTATTCTCTTTAATATAAAATTGAGTTAAAGAATGAGAATTTAGGAATATTAAGATCTTGCTAGCTTTTGGCAGTTTATGAAGATTCCTACGCTATTTCTAGTAAAATTTTACATGCAAACTAAACAATGTTGAACTCAAACATAATAACATGATATGGGTTCACTATTTGCGTAATATACACACACACACATACATAACAATTTAAATCTAGGAAATGTTTTTCATGTCAGGAGTTTAAAACTTGTTCAATTGTTTAATAGAATAAGTAAATCATATATTTAGCTATATTTATTTATGCTATTAAAAGTGACCAATGTTTAAACTATGAACACTAGAGAATGATTACCGGCCAATGCTGATAAATTTAAGACCTAGTTTGTAGCATCTGTAAGAGCTCAGGTAATACTGTTTAACACATTAATATAGGACTTAACCTATTTTTTATTTTTACCTCAATTAAGCTTTTCATTTTTATCCTCATCCAATAATATTTTGAACAATAAAAACAGACTTTTGTTAATAGAAGGAATATAATTTCAACTTATGAACATGAATAAAAAATATTTTTGTAAAATTGTTCTATTTTGCAAACATTTTTTAAATAAAGGCTGAAACCAAATTGATTTAATTTATAGTTTATGCATGTTATATTTGTTATGTCTAGTTGGCGTATTTAGAAGATAATAGAGTTGCTTTATTGAAAAATGAAAAGCCAATTATTATTCTATAATTTATAAAATGTATAAATAATCTTATTATTAAAACAGCATGATTATGCTCCACAACGCAATATCTCAGATACTAATAAATTTTGTCCGTTTAATAACACATTAGCAATTTGAGTTTGGTATCTTCTCTCTTGTATGCATAGTCTAAACCAGGGGTTCCCAACCTTTTTATCATCGAGTACCACCAGACACTTTTATAATCAATACGCGTACCACCTCAATTTTAAAACTAAATTAGGAGTCAAATTTTTTTAGCGTATATTTTTATTATTCAATTCTTTACATTTTTATTATTTGATATTTATGAAAGTAAAAAAATCATAATTTTTAGTTAAATCTAAATATTTAATTTTAAATTACAATTTTCAAATTAATAAAAAAAAATAATAAATATAAATAATAATAATAAAATTAAATAAATAAAATTAATGTGATATTTGTTGTTGTTTATTTTTTACAAGGTCATCAATATACCATATTATATAAAATATAATATAAATAACACAAACGTTAAAACACTTAAAACTATAAGAATGCGCTTTATTGATAAGAATAGATTATCTAAAATTCTAAATTGCTACGATTACAAACCCCATGTTATCGACATTAAATTTATTTTGATAAAATAATAATTTTATAAAATTAGCTAATATCAAATAAACTAAACTAAATAATATTGAATGCAAATAGTAATAAAAAAATTTCTTCGCGTATCACCTACGAGCCTTCCGCGTACCACTAGTGGTACGCGTACCACAGGTTGGGAACCTCTGGTCTAAACAAATGAGTAAAAATTAATAATATAGTGTCCATAAGAGAAAGTGTATGAAGTTAACGGTTAGCTACATTTATACATGGAGATTAACTTATATATGAATAATCTTGTGATATAACTCCAAGCATTTTAAAAGCAATAATATGTAACAAAGCAAGAAATCAAATTAAATTAAGTATAATTCAAATATATAGAGACTAGAATATTCCTAATAAATATTGTTGGAATTTTTGATCAAAATTCTTAAAAATGTATTATCAAACGTTACAATATCTGTATAAACGAAACTGTTCTGAGTGAATGATTCATAATCAACAAAGGAACATTTCTTTTTTACTAGGCACCCTTTTTTTTCACTCTATCCTCTCGTTAGTGTGGTAACGCGTTGCCCATTGCTCAACGGTTAAAGCTAGACGAGACATTAAACATAAACCATTTAAGCAAAATATCAAACTTTAATAGGCTGTAAGTCCCAAACTAATGATTTGTGCCAAATTTCGTTTGCACCATCGTTTTCAACATTAAAAAATACATATAATTAAAAAATTCTATAATTTAGGGTACCCGGAAAGTAGAAAATATAAAATAATATACCTCAACGAAGAGCCAAACATATTGGAATCATAGATTTGACATTTTGAGGATAGGTTAATATTATAACAACTTCATCATGCTCTAAGAAAGAATTTTTCAAAATTTTGATTTTAAGTAGTTGAAATCAGCAAAAAAACAAAATTTTACATGTAAATTGTATATCTATATACATCAATTAGTAAGTGCTTATAACTCGTATGCCTGTAGCTCATATTTTTAGGCTATTTTTCTCTTTTTTTTTTATGTGGCATTTTCCAGTCAGTTTACCTATAAGCTAAGTAATTTTGGCATCAAATGGAAATACATTAAATGTATTTCATAAAAAAGGTTTATAATTTTATTGTTGTCATAAATTATTATTTTTTATTCATATCTATTAAAATTTTGTTACAATAAAGCCATGACAGGTAACCCGTTACTCGTTAATCAGTATATACATGTAATGAAAATGTGGTATTGTACTTGCAGTCTAATTAGTATAAAATTCATTTTGACTTCATTAATGATTCAAAATTATTTTTATATAGATAACAGTTTAACAATAGGGAAATCATTTGTCATGCAAAAATTTGGAAAACTGTATATCTTTTGAATTTTATGTCTAAGTATATTTGTAATAAAAACAGATAATTTTATAAATCAATATTCAAAATGTAACTAATAAAACAAGTAAATATACTCTGGAACATTAGTACAACTTTCTGGAATATTTTAGATGGTTGAAGTATTTTTGTGTAGTATTACAGTGTTACTTAATTTAAAATGAACTGTGTATTATTAAAAGATAAAAAATATCATAGGTTAAATAACAAACAAAGTTTAAGCACATTTCACTTAATATTAATGGTAAAAGGATCCTTGGCAATTGGCATAGTAATGTGGTAACTTATGAACTAGTTTTTGTTTTGTAAGAAATAAGTTTTATAAAAATTAAATATAACTTCTAATTACAGAGTATACAGAACTCAGACACACTTTCTAGTACAATTATAATACATTATAGTATGACTAGAATTTAGTACTAGTACTATTACATTAGGTTTCACAAAATATTAACTAGTTAGTATTTTTATATATAGTATTATGATTATGATTTTAATCTTGTGAAAAGGGCTAAGGCACTAAATTTTTATTTAAATAGTCACTTTAATAAAGATAGAAACTTGTATTTATTGACTGAGATACTGTCTCTATAAGTCACTGTTGTAATTAACAACTCCGGTGACTTAACCAATAGTAAAATCAAATTATGCCTAAATTCTAAAAATGTCTACATCTATATTTAAACAAAAAATTTGATGTAGTTCCTAGTGTTAGACTGTAAAAAAACTGTTATTTAATCGTTAAAAAATAATAATCCTTTTGCTGTTTTTTTATTTAAGTTAACATTTAAAACTAGAATAGTTTCACAATAATTAAAAGCTACATTTAGAAATAAAGATGATGAAATTTCTAGACCATTTCAATTAGTTTGACAGAATTGAAAAACAAATGATTGTAGGATTTGTCGTTGAAAACATAAAGCTTATAATAATGATTACTTATAGTTCATATTATTGAAATTTTCAAATAACAACTACAACTTATTGTTATACAAATTTAATAATATTTTTCTATTATAAGTTTATTGTACATAATATATATTTATTTATTATAATATCACAATATTCTGTTTAATTATAAGATAGCTACTAGATATTCATTAATGTCTATTTTATAAATTATTTCAGCTTACTAAAAATAATAACGATGTGAACAAAATTGTATTCCTGATTAAAAATCTTCAAAATAAAAGTGATTTTGAAACTTACTATCAGATTCATTTTGCAGACAGATTACTTTGTTATAGATATGTCAACATAAGGGCAGAAAACAAAATGATGAATAAAGTTTTAGTAAGTTTAATTTAAAAAAAAATAACTCTGATAATAAAAATGTTCAATAATAATACAATTTAATTTCATATAGAGTATTTTTGTCGATGATCATGGCAAACGTAATTCATTATTTGTATCAAGGATTGAGGGGATGTTTAAGGATAAGTTTATAACATCTAAAACTAGCATACAAAGTTATAATGAGTTTGTTACTGTTAACAAGTGTATTTTAGTAAGTAAAATTGTAATTTAATTTAAAGTGAATATTTATATTATATGCCTAAATTTTAATTGATACATTTTGTTTAATATTTAGGGTATTCTACAGCCTTTTGATATTGATGTAGAAGTAATAAATTCAGTATATTGGCCAGTTATTGATCCGAAATCAATATGCAAAGTACCAGCATTTGCTTTGAATGTTTTTAATGATTTCAAAAAGTAAATAAGTTTAAATCATGTTTTATATTATTACATAGAAATGTTCCTTATGAATCTTTAATATTAGTTATATCAGATTAAATTTAAATTGATTAGCAAAAATGAAATAAAAATTTTTGTAGTTTTATTGTATGTAGTGTAATACGATAATAATTTATCTTATATTATGCTAATAAATGTAATAATTTATATAATTATTATTTTTTATAAGCAATACTATACTTCTTGTGTTAACAGTGGTTATCACTAATAAGTAATTTTTAAATGCCAATGAATATCAAAATTAAAAATACATGTTCTCCTTATAATGTCATGTTATTAATAATAAACGATCAATCTTTGTCACAGATACTACTCCAAAGGAGAGACGAGAAAGACTTTAAAGTTATTACCTCAGTTTGGTACAGTTGAATTGGTCGCAACTTATTATGGTGAACCTATTTTCCTTAAACGATCACATGATGGTGGTAAATGCTCACCAGTCCCCAACAGTCGACGTGTTGAACGACATTTCAAAGTTCGTGTGACAACTTATCAGATGTTTGTGCTTGATTTATTCAACACTAATGACGGTTTAAAATTTAAAGTAATTTATCAATCTTTATTTATTATGCAAATTATTATTAAAATTATGTTTATGATTTATTATTTTACAGGAAATTCTGAAGGAAACTATGATTCCAGAAAGAAGTTTAATTAATGCATTGAGAGGATTGATCTGTTTTCACCGTTTACTTCGAAAAAATCCTAGTGGCCAAGAAATTAGTGCAAATGATGAATTCTATATTAATGAATCCTTAGGATTTCAGTAATTCCTTATTTACATTCAAATGATTCAGTTTAGTAAGTAAGTTATGTGTTGATAAAAGTTCCTTCATCACCTTTGAAGTACCTATTAGGAACACTCGTAATAATACCACCTCTCTATTACATTAATTTTTTTAAAACGAGTTGTTAAGCTATTTCATGCAATGTGCCATAAATATCCTACATTTAATTTTGTTTAAATTCATTAATATTTTATATTATATTATTTATACATAATTATTATTTTTTTTTTCTTTCTTTTTTTTTTTGTATGTTTATTACAAACCATTGTACCTATATGCATAAACATTATGCATATAACCTTTGTTTAAGAATATTATAGTCCTTAATTAGTAATAAGTAAGTAGCTACTGAATTGGAATTTTGTTTCTATATTATATTATATTATATTTTTTAAATGATAATATTGGACCTATCATGAGTGTATTTATTGCATATGTTAGCTAAAATGGTATAGATTAATTATACTTATCAATCTTACTATCAATCGGATTAAAATGTTTTCTTGAAAACATCCAAAAAGAATATTTTTGTGTAAATAATATTAAACATGATCTTGGCTTTCTCATTAAAGCTCAGATTTACCCAAATCAAACATAAGTGGTGTTCTAATTATGTTTGAAGTTGCTGACTTTTTCTAGTTGAGCCATTAATGATGGCCTATTACCTAATATAGGTAGTACCTTAATGACTATACTATTATTAGTATTATAGTTATAATATAGTAGGTATATAGATACACTACAACAAAGGCAGAATTTTGTTGCTTGATAAACGACAGACAAAGAATATGATAAATATATAATAATATAATTTATATTATAATATCATGGTTTGTATCCAGGCTACTTTGTAAACAATATTTATAATTATGAATAATAGTTGTTATCATGTTCATAATTTGTACTTGAATATATTTAAAATGTTAGAAGAAAGAAAAAAAAGCTAATAAATTCTATTGCACCTATCTATTATAAACAACTAAAATTATCATAAAAATAATGAGTGGTCCATACGTTAACACGGTTGTATGACCGTCAATAGTCATATAGCAGTCAACGTAATTGACATGCTGTGTTCCTTGAAACTATACTTAGTTTCTGGTCTCCAGATATTGGTTAAAAGTTCATGTTTAGTTCTTTCATCAATAGCTAGTGAACATGGAAGATTAACAAACTTCCTAATATCTAGCCTACTAAGACTTATATTACCTAAATTACTACAATTCGATACATTTGAATTAGATGACATTGATGAAGATAGTGTCAATGGTAATTTTGTAACTGGTTGATTTTTTTAACAGAACTATTTAAAATATTACTTCATTTATCACTTAGTTCACCATCTTTATTATAACTTAAACAGATTTTATTTTGTATTTCATTATGTTTTGAAGAATTATTACTCTTTTTCCAAATACTAAAAATACTGAACATTATCACAACTAACTAGGATCTTGATAAATTACATTAAAATTCAAAAGAATAGGTGTTAATGTAAAAACTAATCTAAAAATTTAAAAACGATTAATGTAATTATTAATTACTGATAAGAAAAATATCAAATACTGATGAGAATTTAACTATTGATACCGCACATTTAAACTATTGTATTCATGCAATTTATGAACTTTAATTATTTTTAACAAAAAATTAAAAACTTGGTTGACTCTGCTCTAAACCTAACCACTATGTGTTATAATTCTAAAAAAGAAATTTTGTTGTTCTAACGTTCATAATAATCAAGTGTAATAAAAATTACTTGGTAAAAAAAAAAAAAAAAGTTTTTATTTTATTTTTAAATTTAAAAAAATTTTATTTTGAAATATTTTATACAACATAATTGTTAGATAATTGACCCAGAAAAAAGCTAAGGGGGGCAATTACCCCTAGGTTAGAAAAATATATTATTCTACAATAAAGAAATATTATACTAACAATAATGATTTCAATCATCGGTTAAAAAAAAAAAAAAAATTGCGCAAATATGCACAGCTAATTTTTATTAAGTATTGTTCACTAGATTTTGCTTAACGAACTGATATAATTTTCACAGTGTACCTAACACGATGAATAAACACTAAATACCTACGTTTTTAATGAATTAAAAATTTAATTTCGTTTTATCAATATAATATTGTGAGTTTAAACAAAAATATTTGATGTACACATACTTTTATCAATCTTTTATACTGTATAAACAATATTTATGTGTATCACATTTCGTAAGTACTAAAGTTCAAAAACAACGATCATTTCTCAATTTTATAGCATATTTATCAGCTAGATTATTTAAATTATAGTTAGCACGATTATTCACAGTCTTCAATAGTTATATTATAGGTACATAGCTGACATATTTAAATACCATAGGACGTGTGTCGTGTACAATCAATTTATATTTTGTAAATTAAAGTTTTCAAATATTTAAAATAATGATAGGCGCTCGGAATTTAATGCTCTTAAATAAGACTAAATAAATATGCATGTACGTATGCGCTTATAATAGTACAAATATAAATTTATTTTTTTTTCTACTCATGATTTCTACAAATACAAATTTTTCTTTAAAAATATTTTTTATTTTATAGTTTGTACTCGATATTTATTTAATGAAAACATTAAATTGTATGTTAACTATGGATTTGAAAAACACCCACACCAATAATACCTAATTAAAACCTTTAAAATAAATATAGAATTTATCGTAAAGTATTTAATTTATTTTTTAAATTATTAAATTTTCAAATTGCATTATAAATTTATAACTTATAAACATATTATCAATCATGGAATATGCTCTAAAAATCATAAAATTGAAAAATATGTTCTTAAAACTATAAAATCACAAATATCGCGTAAAAATGTGCACCATAAACTATTAGTATTTTTTTCGTAGTTTCGTGAAATAAATTTCAAGCTTATACTTATAGTTTATAAATGTAATAACCTAAGAAACACATGCGAATTGTATCACTTCCGAGACCTATGACTTATGACCAATAATTGAAGAGGTGCCAGCTGAGTCGAAAGGGATAAACGCGGCGAGGAACGGCCATCACGCCAGCGACAGTGAACGATGCCACGCGTCACCGCGCGACGTCGGGATTATCAGAATGTAACAACAGTGATCGCTAATGACATCAACAACCGCCGCGCTGGGCCTTTCCCGGCACACCGGGATTTTCCCGTGTGGCATTGGATTTTCTCCAGTGCCATCGGTCGTCTCCGTGCGAGGTTGGGTTTACCCAGTCGCGGTTCCACGAGGACTAACAGCCACTACATCAACAGAATATATTAACGAACGCAATAGAACGAAATTACTACAGCCTACTCAGGATCAAAAGCTCGTCGGCACAATTTTAGCGAGTATAATGATAATATTATGAATCTGACCTTTAACATTTATAATGAATGTGTATTCATTCAAATTTTAAAAATGATGACACAGTGAAATAGATTATTGAAAACGTGAAATGTGTTATATAGTACGTTTGCAGTATGGGCATCCCCAGAAATTTTTCTTTGGGGGGGGGGGACAAAATTAATTTAAAAAGTAAATAAAAAATTTTTTTTTATACATTTTATTTATTGTACATTATTATGTTTTGTGATCATTACAATTGTATATTATTATTATACATTTATAGAAAATTATTATGTTTCGTCATTTATTATAATTAGGAAACAAATTTAAAATTCTAGGGGGGCAAGTTTCCCGTCCTGCCCCCCTGGAGACGCTCATGGTTTGCAGCAAGACCGAGACAAAGCACACACGTGTGGCATTTTCTCAATCCATCTTTTTATACATTTCTATATTATGATATTATGGTATACTATCATATTTTAAAATAAATTTCAAAGTAAACTTTATCATCTCATTTCAATAGTTTTTCTCTTATTACAACTAAAAAATTAAATTAAAAAAATAATTGAGAGACGGGTGGGCGTGTTTATATTGTTCCCCGAATGAGTAAAGATTAATGAAGGCTAGGGCGTTATTGATATGGAATGTTGTATCGAAATAATAATTATGTTAAAAAAAAATTAGAAACAATAATCGATAATAATAATATGGTATAAATAATTACAATAAAATTATATTTTATTACCTATGACTGTTGGTCGGCAGGTAATCCCATAGGAAACGACAATCGGTTGACGATGTATATCCAGGCAATGACCTATGTCCACTGTATTTATAGGTCGGCGGCGATGCGGCGTATTTCTACGTGACAAAACACTTTATATAATTATAATAATTTATATTATGTCAAATATCGGCACGACGGCACTTCCAAATATATTATGATTATATTATCGCATACGAGAAATTACGTCGGTTCCATAGGCGTGCACAGGAAGCCAGTAAGGGCCCAATGTTTTAATAAAATTTCTCATATATTAATATTGATTGCAATAAATATATCTTGATTACCAAAATCAATTTTAGATTATGTTTTAAAGTAAATTTGAAAAATTAGGATAATTTACTGTAGTACACTCTATCGTTGAAAGTCTGTAGGTATGTAAGTTTAACGCGTAGACGCGTGTAATAACTATTATTATATCATATTAAAAATTGTTAAGAGTACCTACTGAGAAACCATTTGTTAAATATTTACAATTTACAAAGTAAAACCTATTATCGATAATATTATTAATTTTATTTTATTTTTTGATTGTATTTCAAATCGAATGTTAACCCACCACGACTACTCTCTCTCGGAAATAATGTATGGTAGTGTGCTACTTGTAAGTTGTATTTTTCTATTATATAATATAATAGAAATATTATATTATAAACACATTAAACTCAAAAAAAAAAGTCTAATAGTTTTAATATAGACAGCCGAACAATAATATTTTGGCACTACCTAGCTTTGGACTTTGAAGTCGGCGCACGCCTATGGTCGGTTCGTATTTAAATAATTGCATGGCGGCGGTGATAAGCGGAACAGTGGCACGTACGCGATACGATCGGCGAAACTTCAAATGAAACCGAACGATTTTGATGTCTGCTCTGAGGACAAGCAGAACCGTACACGGCGAAGTAATGTACAGCGCGACGCGTTTACGTCGCGATTGGCACGGCAACGACGGACGGTTCGACCAACTCAAAGGCTACCGAGAAAAAAAGAAAAACCGCGAGCTGTCCACCCCGGTCGAGGACTTCGTTCATGACGCTCGATAGACGGACGTGGCAAAGGCGGATAAACGACTACGCGGGTACGCGCGATACAAGTACGACGGGTAGACGGCACGGCCGAGAGGGAGTAAAAGTTCGGTAATTATCTTTTTCGTTGGGCGCGCGCTCGCGCGGACCGGTTTCGGCGTCGGCGGACGGTAAATTGAACGCCTGGTGCATTACGTTTACTAGCCGTTGGGCAAGTTACCTTAGTGTTTAATCAATAATTATTAGTGTGTATTATTAACTCGTATTGAAAGAAAAATTAAAAGTCACGGCCATTTAGAAACTAACACATATTTCATTTTTAAAATTAAAAAGTAATGTTCTCGACAGTTATTTTTCAGTACACTTATATCTTTTGACGCAAAACAATACGTGTTTTTAAATTTTATTATTTTTTTTTCAAGAACAAAAAACTCTCGAATATCATTGATAGGAAATATACCTATAATGTATAGGTAATAGAAACAACCAAATTATATACTGTTATCGAGTCGTTCGATCGGTTATTAAGATCCTATTATTTCTTTATGATTAATCGTTTAAAGTGATGCAATGTCATTAAAAAAAACTGGAGATTCTGAAACCCCTTGTTTTTTTTTCAGTTGACTACAAAAAATGGCGTATACTACGAGGGTGCTAATTTTAAAACATTCCCAAATTGTACTTATAATCACTTATGCGTAAAACATTAGTTTTTCACATTTATCTCTATACATTACGGCATTACGCGTTATGGTAGTTCGATAAGTGAGGACCGCAGCGTTTTATTTCATTAAAAATATAAACTTGAATAATTGATAGGTATTTATTATCTAAAATCTAATTATGATTCCAAGTATTGTAATTCCACAAAATGTATAAATCGAAAATAGACTTCCAATTAATATTATTAAATGTTCAATACGTTATAGCTTATATTTGATAAATATGTTAAAAGTAGGTATATGAATAAAATTCCAACAATTATTGTTTGTTCTATTTTCAGATACTCTAATAATTACGACAGCCCAATAATATTTTTAATTTATTTTACACATACGTCATACATGTTATAAACTAAGTATCAAATAATTATATATTGTGTAGGTATAGATTAATTAGAACCTAACTATTTAAACCAGATGTCCAGTTACCAACTTCACACTAGAAAAAATATATTTAGTATAGTTTAATGAATGAAAAAAATTGCTTATAGTTAACTATTATCAGTATAAATAATCTTCGAATACCAAAATTCGAGTATGTTTATAATGAGAGTAATTTTGTCGATAATATGCTGTTTGAGCTATTAAGAATTTATAATCGACATTCTTGACTTAGCACACCTACAGATTTATTGGCATAGTGATTAATCGTTTAAACTTAAACATAGCATTCATTCTCGCTGAAACGTCTGGCATAAAATCCAAAACATCCATTATCTTTTTCTCAGTTCTGGTAATATGTATAGCATTAGTTTCAAAAATCATTTTAGCCACCTTTAAAAAAATAAAGCAAATGATATTAGGTACATTTAAAATAAATGGTTACCTAATTAATTATTTTTAATTTTTATCTACTTCCAAACTATTATAATAACATAGTTTTAACTATTGTCATTACTATTTTAAACTCATTTATTATTATTTATATTAAATACCTACTGCTAATTCAAATTATTTTATTTTCATTTATATCGTTTTATATATTACTATGCCGTAATCAAACTTTACGTTGAAAATTTTTTATGGTATCAAATAGAGCTATAAAATAATAATTGGTCTTACAAATATAATGTTCATATAATATTTGCCAACCTTTTCCAAAAACATTAAAACTCCGGGCACCTGGAGCTTATACGCAATTGCAATAGCCTTATATAATACGTGACAACACTTAGGCTTATTATCTAATTGAAATTCAATTGATACGAGTAAAATTAATGCGTTCACAATCCACGTATGATTATTAATTTCTTTAGCTAATTGTAAACATATAGTAGCTTTATTTCGAGCGTTTTTAAGGTTACCATAACCCATATTGATATAACATTTGGCTTTTTCGTAATATATAAAAATTTTTTCTATCATTGACTCCGATTTTTCCAAACGGGCACGTAATTTATTTATAGCTCTTCTGTAAAATAAGTAATCAATATAATTACAAAGAATTGAACAAATTATTAAGATGTCTATGACAGTGCATGTTAAATAATATGATAATCAATTATTCTTAAAGTATGGTCATAATACGTACTTAAACCTAGCCTATGATTAAAAGTTTACGATCGTGATTTTATGATCCAAGAAATACATAAATTCCCTGGATAATACATACGTTATAATTAATAACGTTTGATAACACTATACTTTTGTTTGTTATTTACTACCTACTCGTAAATAATAAAATATATGATTTAAAGGAACGTGAGTTTGTTTTGGTAAGTAAGAAAATTATTTATAAGCTTCAATTATTTTATTAAAAGTAAATCATATTATTATAATTAAATATATTTAAGTCTATAATATGTATATTATTAAGTTTTTAAAAAGTTTTCGACAAAAATGTAATGTCTAAGGCTGGCGCTATACACGGCGTTTTCCGTCGAATTGAAAATGCGTTTGTTTATATCGGAGTAGCTATACACGACGGACGTAATACGCCGCGTTTTAATCCGCGGCGGAAAACGCCGGCCGGCTTGCGTTTTGGCGGACAAACGCTGGAATAATAAAAACGCCAACTTCTAATTTTACATTGTTTTAAATTAGGATGGGCTATACTGGTGCCGGAAAACGTCGCGTTTACACAATAATTACAATAATAACAATAATGATTACAATAATTTTACGCGAATATTCAATATTTTATCTATTTGCTTTAATTAATTTACTCAATAAATAATATAAATAAATAATAAATAGATTATATATTTCATATCTATTTAAAAAGTACCATTTAAGTGAATACATTATTTTAATTAGTAATTGGTGTTTATAACTTGTGGTTGGTTACTTAATTTTAATTAATGGTGGTATAATTATGTTTTGTTAAAAAAAAATGTTGTAAATAACAATCGTAAAAAAGTTCAATTTGTAGTGTCGTCAAAAAAGTAGTAAACAGTAAACCTTGTCCTACGAACTAACTACTGCAAATGATCGATCGATGAATGTCTATTATTAATTAATAATTTGTGCTATTCGATTGCGATGATGCAATATTTATATTATTGATACAATAATTATTGGGTTTATCATTTTTTTTAGATATTGTACAAATATCCGCGGCGAAATACGCTTGACGGATACGCCTTGTATAGCTAATCCGACGGAAAACGTGGCGTACGAAATGCGACGGAAAACGCCGTGTATAGCCTCAGCTTAAATACTATAAATATTATACCTTATATATTCATAAATTTAAGATTTAAAATAATTAGTAAAATAAGTGTTATTTGTCATAAATAGTTAATAAATAGGTACTATAAATAATTATTTATTATTTGAGGTGAAGTATCATTTATGCCCATGTATTTTTCATAGTGCAACTATTTGAGTACTCTAAGGCTGAAAAGCCTATATTTATATATTATTTTAATTATTCATAGAAATTTATCATATTCGGCCGTACTTTGGATTTATTTCATTTGATCCAAATAACGATTCCTGGAGTGGTATGTTACTTTTGGTAGCTCCTAAAAAAATTAGCATTCTTTGATGATTTTTTTCCATGTTCCACTGACTTATGTTTTGAAATAGTACATATTGCGCTATTCCAAAGCTTTGGTAAATCGTATCTAAAATACTGTGGGAGTTATAAGAATTTTTCTCCATAAACTCTATCATTAGCTCCGTTTTTAATTTGGCTTCTTTAATTTGATTTTTTATTAGTAGTTGAATGATAAGGTTTAAATATTTACAAATCATAAGATGTTTCATATCTTTTACAAGTTTTGAATTATTAATTTGAGTTGAAAGTCTATCACCTTTCATTTTAGGCTTTTCACATTTATAGATAAATATTTGTTTTCTTTTATACAATTGTTCCTAAAATTAAAAATTATAAATATTATTGTAGTCAAAAATAAACATTTTATATGTTCATTCTACTCACATAAGCTACGTCTAATGAGTCGACAACTCGTTTCATGTTATTTAATAATTTCTTTTCTGCTTTGTAAAATGGCCGTTTAGGACCACCGGACTCGAGTACTTCTTCAAAGAATCTTTTATCTCGTGCTAAACGACCAAGATAAAATGATTGAATTCGTTTTTTGCACGTAAGTTTTGTTTTGGAAAGTATTGAGTGCAAGGCTTCTGTGTTATCCAAACCCCCCAATTTTGCCAACCTCATTACTGTATTTCCCAAACAACGTTTTCTATATTTTCCTTTACTTAAATTTGTTGAATTGTTTATTATTTGCGTTACCTAAAATTATTGTTTATATACTCGTATTTTATAATTATATTACCTTATTAGTTTTGAAAAAAAAAATAAACCTGTACAATTTTATATTTGTATTACAGAAAATACCTTTAGAACTCCCAATGCAAAATCTAAAGGCTGGACCTTTGTTTTTACTAAGTTTAAATATGTTATTAAACTTTTTTCAAATTCTTCATTTTCTAGCATTACACTTGCTTTATTCTCTAACACTGATAATTTATTAGGAGATTGAGCTTCTGCTAACATATGATTTGCGTACGCCAATTTTGGTTGAAACAAGTTCTGTTGACATTTGCTCAGAAGGATTCTAGTGTTTAAATCATTATTAGACACAGCTAATACTTTTTCACAGTATTGAGCAGCTAAAATATAATTATGTTTGAAGGTTTTTTTAAATAAATAATTAACAACAATTAAACGCTATAACAATATACATGTATAATATATATATTATATGATATATATTTTTATATATGTATAATTATAGCATACATTAATTATTATTAAAAATAAAGTAACTTACCTATTTCATAATTATTTTTTTGAAATTCTCTTTTAGCTATAGATTTTGTAGCCCATATTTCATTAAACCATAATTTAGGGCCTGTAACTTCATTACGAAACATTTTGGTAAAATAAAATAGTTGTAAAATTAATATATATATGTATATATATATCACTTCCAACGTTTTTAAAATTGTAAATTTTGGTAAAATGTTATAAAAATAATTTTATTTATTGTTGTTTGTTTATTCAATAACATGGTAACAATTTATTGCATATTATATAACACAATAAAAATACAGTTTGACAAATATGTATTTAAATATAAAACATATTTTTTATTAAAATAATATAATTATAACTTTTTGGAATTTCGTCGATTTTTTGTTTATAAAATAATATAAAAAAATTAAAGTTTTTATTCAGAAATATTTTAAAAAGATTTTCGATTTATCCTATATAACGCAATGTAGATGGGTGTTCATTTTTAAATAGTTTTAATTTGTACTTTTTTTACAATTTTAGTTTACGAGTAAGTAAGGTTGAAAATTTAATACAAAGTGCTTCATGAGTTTTTTATATAACATCAAAAAATATTAAAAATATCGAATTTAAATATATTTTTATGAGTGATTTAACACAGAAATTTGATAAAATCTCAAAAATGTATAAACTATTTTGTAATTTGAAAATTTACAACAAATTTTCTATCTATAACTTTAAAAAAAGAATAATTATCAGACAGTAACATTAATTTGTTTTGAGCGTTTGAAATTCAAACTTTTAAAACATTGGATATTCAATATGTAAAAAATAACACTTTCTCTTTTATCAATTTTTAACATTTTATTGTATTTAAAAAACAAATAACTGTAGCTACTTAAAATTTATACTAAATGTTTATATTATAATTTATATGTAGGTACGTATTATAATTAAAAAATATTTTGATATTTCCGTGAATAATGATTTTTTTTATTTATTAAATTTAAAATGGCGTATAGCACTTAGCATATTACATGCCATTTCAAGTCTTTGATTTAATTACAAGAATAAAAGTGTATTTATGACATACTTAATAATACTATTTAATTCTGATTTCGTCCAAATTAGAGTTTTAAATTATTATAAAAATAAATTATAAGTAGGTACCTAGGTATTTTTAGTATTTTTAACTTGTATATGAAAAACTAATAAGGAGCCCTTTCTTAAATTTTCTAGCTTTTTTACTTAGTTTATTATTTTTTATCGACATTCATAAAATAAATTTAAAATGACCATATATACTTAAAAACAAAAGAAAATTTTTAAAAATGTAATCATGCATAGAAGATTATCAATTAAAAAAATGATGAATATTTCAAGTATATATATATACAGTAAATTATTTTCGAGTTTATCAAGAAAAAAAAAAAAATCGAGTTTCTCAAAAATTAGATTTACATCAAAAATTTTTTTTTTTATTTTTTTTTTTCCCGATTATTTTGGAAAATATTGATAATTTTTATTTTGACCTCTTTAAAGTATAAATCAAATTTAATTTAGTATCCGAAATCACCTTTAAATAAGTTGTAAATTGAAGCCTTTTTTAGACTACTATTATTGTATAGGTACCTACCTATACATATTACAGACGCGCGCACATATAGGTACATATAATTGTAAAATCAATACGTTTCTCGTCGATGAATTATAGGTCCTTTCAGATTCTCAGAATCTAAAAACATATCAGGAAATATATTTGTGATGTTGGCTGACAAAGGCTCTGTACACGTGCGTGTGAGTCTGCGCTGTGTAGTAAGAAAGGGGCAAAAATGAAATAAGTTTTCGAGTATAGGAATCTAATGCACAAAGAAGCAAATATAAAAATTATATAGCTGACAACCATTCGTAAAATATAATTTCAAATATGATAAATATAAATGATGAACAAACTATAAGCGAGTTTTCGTGGAGGCAACGAAAATAAACGGTTAGCTGACTGTTATTTAATGATACCACATAATTATGATTTATAAAGTTTTTTTTACAGTCAAAACAATCTGAAAAGATGTTTGTAATACCAGGAATACTTACTATAGAAACATTAAGCTGTTGAAAAATTCGATTTTCAATAGATGCGAATATTTTAGTAAATAGTAATGAAATTATTGCCAAAACGATTTTTAATTAACTGCAGTTCGCTGCTCTTAATATCTCCGCGAAAACGTGCTTATTGCTTCTTATTTTTCTGTCTCTTCGTATCTACAGACTGATAAGACTGATAGATGGACGGGTGGAAGTCATGCGTATATGTTATATTTTATAATAATTATTATAATGTACATATATTATTTGATTTATGTATACTTATATATATATATATATAAAACTATATATAACTATGAAGTACCGTATAATGTAGATCATATACAGACTTAAAATTGTATTTATATCGATATAGATTATTTTTCTAAGTAAAAAACCTGAAATGTTAAAACGAGGTTCTTTATGCCAAGGTGCAATCAACAGTATTCGATTATATAAATATCGTACGTTAATTTTGTAGGGCTGCAATCGCGTGTTGCATTCAAAACATTTTAATAATTTTTAACAAACCACATGATAAAGTAATACGCTACATTTCGAAAAAATTAATATCGAATCCCTTCAAAACCTCTTTGGAGAGGTACTAAGAAATTAACCACTCTTAAATATAATTATAAAATACATAGATTCTATTACATAATTTTTTTAATTTTAATTTTATTCATTAAATGATTATTAGGAAGTAAAGTTATTTTTCATTTTTAAAAGATACCTATTTATTGTATAAAAACTATTTTATATCTATATAATAAATTTTTATTTCACTTATCTTATCAAAAAAAAAAAAATTGGATCCCTATAGCGTTTGCTGTTTAGATAATCCGGACGATTGTATGCGCTCTACTAGAATATCTAATGTAAACTTTACTAGTTTTGTTTTCTTACTCCTAATTATTGGTATACATGGAAACTCTGCCATATAGTTAAGGCTTTCCTGCATTAAACACGCAAACATCCGTTGCGATGACATATGTTTATAGATTATTGCTAAACTGATATTAGCTTGTTGCGTTAATTGGTTCGTTTAAAAAATATTATACTTAAAAATAATTTTATCTTCATATTATCTGAGTAAGTATTCTCAATTTGTCATATCATTATCATCAGTAGATGTTCTATATTATATCTGTATTTGTATGTCTTATACTTTGACGAAAATAATCTTCCGTAGTGTTCTTTAAATTACAGTGTTTGTAGTGTTATTTAATGAAATTAAACTAGTTACTAGCCAGAGAGATAATTTATTGCTTTTAGTTAACGACTAAATGTACAAAAAATACTTAAAATTCATGTCTAGTGAAACAAAATTGACGTGTAATAACAAAACTTTTAATGTATTTACTAAAATTGTTGAAGTGGAACAACGTAATATAAATTTAGCAAATTCGTCAAAGTTACTCACTTATATTTAATTCAAATTTAACACTGCACCTTTAATATAAAACCTACTCGACGCCTCATCTACAGCATAACGGTACCACTATTAAGCTATTTTTTTTTTATACTTAATTTTTTACTCGTATTAAAATATGTACCTATACAGTCTGTAATGTTTCTTGGGATAACATTAGAATATTCGCCACAAGATAATTTATTTAAAATCGTGAGAGAAAAAGCTACTCAGCAATAGCAACTATCTTTTATTTTCTAAATTATAAAAAAATTAAAAATTAAAATTAATGGATGTATTGACGGTGGTTTTGAATATTGGATGGTAAAAAACATAACTTTTGGGACTTAATTATTCATTTAAAACACACCAAAATTTATAATTAAATTTGTATTAAATTATATGTGTTTTTTTTAGTACCAGGTACACTATATATTTTGTTAATCACACTATAGATAGATAAAGACGTTATTGCGTATCGAAATCATAAATAAAACAAAAATAATAAAATGATCGCTGTAACAAAACTTTTTGAGCTAAAATTTTAAATTATAAATTTCATTTCATCCAAAAGTTTATGTTGTAATGAATAAATAAATATGTGGCGAAAATTATCAAAATGACTTAAAAATTATTAAAATACTTTCAAAATGCAATATAAAAGTTTTAATTTTCAATTCTCTGATGTATTTTAGTTGAAAAGCATTTAATAATATGTTTATTTGCAAATAATTTTCTGTGTCGAACTTATACTACGTAACTATAATATAATACTATGTAGGATAATATAAAATTAAATAAAGTAAGAGTTCATAATATTTGCAACCCTTCGATAAGCTAATATAGCTTGTTGAAATATGCGTATTGTTTTTGTTAATGCATTTATAAGTTGATCCCACTTAAATTTATTATCCAAAATTATACCATGGTATTTAAATTTACTTGCAGTAAGACATTTTTCATATGTTCACTATTAAGGTTTGATGGACTAATAAATATTTTATAGATTGTATAAATTTCTTTAAAATTTATAATTAAGTTAATATATTTTGATTTATCTAAATTTAATTATATAATAGCTTATTAACAAATCAAGACTTAACTTTATTTATTACGGCATCTAAGTTTATAAATACGAATCTGTTATTTTATCTTGATTAAAAAATATATTCGTATCATCAACATATATAGAACAGTGTTTCCATTTATATCAACGTTCAACAGATCATTTAAGTATATTATAAAAAGTATAAGTCCTATAACTTTACACTACATTATATCTGTAATGGTATATACTTGAAACAATTATTAACCCTAACGATTTGTGTTCTATTTGTTAGATATAAAGATCTACTTAGTTATAATAAAGTAATTTTTTGGAAGTTTCCAAAAAAATACATTTTGCATTAATATTTTTTAATTATTATAGTTTATATAGTTATTAGTATTATTAGTGATTACACACTAATTTATTAAATATGTATATATAGGATAATAAAAATATACATTGAAAAAAAAAACAATGAAAATTATACAAAGCTTTAAGTATGAAACACTATATGATAAGTAAAATTATATATAGGTATCAATTAAGTACTCATAAAATATTATGTAAACGTTTTTAAAAATAATTCAACATTTAAA